GGCAATCTGAAGCCCACAGTGGCATGGCTCGAAGATCTTGGGCTAAGGCGAGCCCAGGTGGCCAAGGTCATTGCTTCTCAGCCTCAGGTCTTGGGCCTGAGCATTGAGGGCAATCTGAAGCCCACAGTGGCATGGCTCGAAGATCTTGGGCTAAGCCGAGCCCAAGTGGCCAAGGTCATTGCTGGTTCTCCATCAGTGTTGGGCTGTAGCATTGAGGGCAATCTGAAGCCCACAGTAGCGTGGCTTAGGGATGTTGGCCTTTCTTCTCCGCAGGTCGTGAACATGGTGGGTCGGTATCCGAATATCTTTGGCTATAGCATCAAGGCCAATTTGTCTCGGAAGCGGCTTCTGCTGGAACGCTTCTTCTCAACCGAAAAGGTGTGTGCCATGCTGGTGTACCTGCCTCAACTGCTGGGCTACTCCTACAGTCGTATCCTTCACCGTTTGCGAGTGGTGCAGAAGATGGGCTGTTCTTCAAAGCTTGCCTCTGTTATGCCTCTGACAGACTCGCGGTTTGCCCTCAGATTTCCGGAGGCAGTATCAACGCGGACAAGAGATTTAGAGGGGTAGCCTTCACCAAGCAAGGCCAGCGACTCTTGCATGAAATTGGCCAGGGGGCTGTTGCTAATTTACTCTCATTGCATGTGAACTAGATGGCTCCACTGCAGCAGGCAAGAAAGTCCGACACTCAGGCGTTTTCAGGTGCCGTCCAATGCCCGTCTTCAGTGTCTGCTTCGGGGAAGGAGGCAGCCACCAAGTTCGCTCACAACCCGGTGTGCAAGAAATGCATGGTCCAAAGCAGGCCGAGGAAGGTTTTCCAGGACAGAACCCAATGAACGATCTAGGCCGGCACAGCGAGCCCCGGTTGGATCATGAGTCGTTCTTAAGCTTGGGCTTGTGGCTCCTGTGCCAGCTCAGTTTCAGAACTTAGCTCTTCGAGCCTCGGCTCAGTGTCTGAGATGCAGTGTTTGGTTTGGCATTCTGGTGTGTGGCCAGGTTGTTGGAGTTGAGGATGCACCCATCATCGGATTCACATTGCACTAGGCCGATCTTTTTGGGATGCCCCTCTCAATCTGTTGGGAGTTGTGCAGATGGGACTTATGACTTATGACCCACCCCATGGTGCAAGTCTGGCCGAGGCTAGGAGGTCACTCGTGATCAAAACCCGCCTGTTATTGCGTATGAGGTAGTGGCATGCTGTGCCTTCAGTTTGAATAGATTCATCACCCCTGTAATTCCCCAGTTATGCCGAAGACATCCAAACTATGTCATGGTTGTGGCCCAAGCTAGGCCCCAGTCCTTCTGAGGAATCACTACTCCACGGCTTATGTGGCAGCGCCGAAGGCCCGACTTTCAAGCGGCCGTGGGGATTGCAAAGGTCGAACTTTAAGTGCTTTGGACCTGTCGGAAGTTTCGCTTCTGAGCTGTGCATCTGCTCCTACCTAAACCTCAAAAGTATGCAGAATGATTGCCTTTTGGGTTATTTTTGATGGCTTAAGGCCATTATTTTACCTACTTTGGAGGCTTAGGTAGCCATCAAGCACCAGGCCAGAGGAGACTTGCCTTGCTTAGGAGCATTTGCATGCACAGCCTGCGGCGCAAACATCCTCACAAGGCAAAAGCCATGACGACCCACCAGCAAGGGTAGTTGGTTCATTTTGTTGATTTTTGTTTGTTCTAGTGGTGTGGCCAAGGCAAGAACCATGGCCCACCAGCAGGCATATCTTTCAATCCTCCAAAATACCTGCGCGCCCCCCATCGCTGACGTATAACAATGCAGAATCCCTGGGTGATTGCTTCGAATGCACGACCTAGGCAAGTACACGATGCCCTGTTTCTCCCTGAAATCCTTGCAGGGGCAGGCGAAAACTCTGTCGATGTGGGGCAACGTCCAAGCCGGAGGGTACTTCGACGACCAGGACTCAATCTGGCGTGCAACTCGTTGACCAGTACTTGTACCTGCCATGCAATATGCTGCTTCCATGATCCAAACGGAACTTTGACATCGAATGGATTACACCTCCAAAGTCTCACATAATTCGGATGCCTTGTTCATACTCCCCTGCTGTGACCTATAAGCAGATTCAATGACCGCTGCTATGGTCCTAGATCCCTCGTAGAATGATAGTATTGGGCATCTCAACTAGACCTAAAAGGAATGTTGGTAAGTGTTTAGGCCCCTGCATTATATGATCACTCTTCACAATCCAGATTCCATTCAATTTTCCATGTTCTTGTCCATTTTGCTTCTCCATCAGTGAGGTACTATCCCCCATATTCAAGGCCTCCAAGCCCCAAACCCCAAGTGTCTATGAATAGGAAGTCGAGCTGATCGATGACCCAAGGAGTCTCGTCTTAAGCAGACTCTGGTGGTTCCAGGTTAGCTAGACCTCCCAAATAATTGCAGAACTTGGCCTTCAAGCGCAAAATGATGTGTACAGCCCGCAAATTGGGGAGCTTGGAAGGTCCAGGTAGGGTTTGGGTTCTGAAAAGGTCGATGTAAAGAATGGACTGAAATTTTCACAACACAAGCCCTGTAACCCAGAACCGAGAAATTCAAGTCTTCCCTGACCTGAAGCGAAGACCCGCGAGTCCCTATACCCTAAACCCTAAACCATCCTGCACCTCACATCTAAGTAGTATCCCATTTAGGGATACTATAGACCCTTGCTTCAACCACCAAAAAGAAACCGCTACTCATCTGGCACATCACGCCCCTGCACCCGCAGGGTTTGAACAACTTAAAGGCCCCCTTTCATACCCGGAATTTTATGTTGTAACCCCGTTTGTATCAATCCGTAAAATAGGGGGCCCTAACAGGGGTCTCAGGGGGACGTAGTAAGTAAGTAAATTCATAATGGGGATAACTCGGGTTGCTATATGGGTCATAGGGGTTATTAACCTACTTACGAAGTGCCCCGGACCCTAAACCCTAAACCCTAAATAATGTGGTAGCTTCCATTCACTTCTCCATTCTTAACCTACTTACTAAGCCCCCCCTGACCCTCCAAGCAGACCCCAAACCCTAAGCCCTAAACAGCAGTTTCCATTTTCTTTTCCATTATCCCTATATACCCCTTACATAACCCATAGTAGTAGTAGTAGTAGTAGTAGTAGGATCTGTCTGCCTTGGCTTTCAGGTGGGGCCGGTCTGATATGGACTGGGGGGTGGTGCCCTGGGGCCTCAAACACATGTGCGAGTACATCCAGAAGGAGTACCAGCCCCAAGGACGGCCCTGGATATACATTTCCACGTGGAACCCTCAAATGGCTGTGTTTGTTAAAGGTTTCTATGTGGAGTCTTATGTCAGTTTGGTGCAGGTCATTTTCGAAAAGCTGCATTTCGGGGAGTTGTAGTTGGTGTTCAGTTCCCAACAAGTACGTTGAGTTGGCAAGATCATTATCATTGTTCTTATTGCCGTGTGGGGTTCCAGGTGTTTGGCGGTCTGCTGGAGTAGTGCGCCAACTCGTACCACAGGAACTTGCGCTTCCTAGAAGCCTCCGCATATTTCAGTGCAAGCCATGTCGAAAGTACCTTTACAGAATCCCGAATATGGACGCCTGGAACCGGATTAGCCGGATTCCCGCTGCAATCCTCGTACACCCTCAGGTCGTTCAGGTCTCCCTATCTTAGAGAAATCTCCATGCGCTTCCCGAGAGTCCTGTCTTCCTAGTACCAACTAGTAGGGGGAAATGTGTTCTCAGGGTGTTGGGGCGTTGTTGTTTCCCTTCTGGGAGCTCAACTATCCACTCGACTATCTCCATAAACTGTCACGGTAGCGTCGGTAGTCGAAACTGTAAGCAATAGTAATAGCACCGGCATCAGTATTGCAATGAGGCATCAATTCCAGTGTGCGTAGGCCTACTACCATGCTTGTAGTGTTTCTTATGTTTGCCATAGTCTCTCTTCATTCTTTGTTGCAATTGTAAAGTCTGCTTATATGCATCATGCTTCATGTCTTGGAGCTTCTCAGACTTGCCCCTGTAGAACCCTTGCTCAAGACCCCCAGCCCTGTGAAATCCCAATTTATTACTTACTGGTGTCCGGGGCCTACATTTGGTGCAATTTTCGTTTTTATCCTGAGGAGGCATCCTGGTGACTGAGAATGGGTGCGCATGCCCAGACGACGACGTCGAAGACGCGAAGTATGACAGCTTCCGCGTGGATTTCTACCAAGGATTCAAGCTGTTTGGTGTTTTGTTATCGCAGGGTGTGGGATAGCAGGAGTGTACTGCTAGATCTCTGCCGAGGGCTGGAGTTTGTCACCGCATGAAAAGTTTACCTTCCAAAGAGAGGGAGGGGTGCGGCGGCAGTTCCACCTACCGCGGAGAGAGACAAAGGTGTTGGGCCACAGGTTACGGGGTTGGAATTTCATTGGTTTTGAGACTCGGTTCATTCATCCGGGTCTGAGATCTGTTTCGGCTCCAGGTAACCAAAAACGTTATGAGCTAACAGTTTGGGATGAGAAAGTTCGGGTTTATGTTTCTAAGCGTTGTAACCGGCTCAGCATTTCTTATTTGGGGCTGAGTTACGCAAATATCAGATCCAATGCAGTGGGCAAGAGGGCTTATGTGCGTTGAGACTATACCGAGGCACAAATGTTCTCACCTTCATAATACAAATTGAAAAGCCCGGCGGGGCCTCCAAACACGACCCCTGAGCCTCCTGATGTGATAAGGATCGCTTGGGAACTCAGCTCTCGAATGCTAGCCTACTACGAGTCCGCTATGACCCGTTTTACGGCCCTTGTGTTTGAGGGCGGGGGCGTGGGGAGGGGCTTCCCAAGCATCACATGGCAGGATACATCGCCCAGATGCACAAGGCGATCGAAGCCGGTGCAGACGTTTCTTCGCCTGACTTATAGTACTGTTTGGTCATAGTACTTGGGGGGAGAAAGGGGTGGTTCGAAAAAACACTCCAAACTTGCAACCCTCGCATGTGTACAAGGAGCCCTGAACGCTGACCTCTATACTCTAAACCCTCAAGCCTAAACCCTGGGTAGAATTTTCCCAGGTGCGGGGATACTTCGCTTGGTCGCTCATGGATAACTTCGAGTGGGCACTTGGGTGGCTTGACATGGAGCTGACAAATAGGGAGTTAAGGTTCAGGGGTTTAGAGTCAAGGATGCAAGACTTGGGGCTTTCGGGCTTCAGGGTACGGATTTAGGGCTTTGGGTGTAGGATTTTAGGGTTTCAGACTTTGGGGCCTTGGGTTCCTTTTCCCAGGACACGGATTTCATAAATCCTAGATGAAAATCCAGAAGCGGGGGTGCTATGCAACCAAGGAAGGGTCGCAGGACTCAGCATTGAGACCTTGGAGCTTTTCAAATAAAACTTTTTACCCTGAAGGGCCCAAAGGCTATTTGGGGGTTTCAGGACACCAGGTCAAGAACGCCTTGCCAAAAACTTTGAATCATTGATTTTCTGGTGCCTCCTCCTGCGAGAACATACGCCCGCTTGCAGAGTAAAGGGACATGAGATTGACGTTTGAGTCTGGCTTGAAAAGTGGAGTCCTAAAGCTTGAGATCTGCAGCGGCTTTTGGTTTCTGGAGGCCTCAAACAGTTACTCGTAAGAAAATTACGACTAGTTTAGGGTGCCAAGATAGTTGGATGATTGATTCTTGGAACGGCCGTCGGCCTACTATGATGATTGGCTGACCATATCGCATGAGCAGTCGAATAAGGCGTGGATTGCTTTGGACCAGGCTTGAAACCCCAGACGACCAAGCCTGAGCTCTTTAAGCCAGGAAAATTTGAAGCTTTAGATGCCGCAAACCCTACACCCTTCAAACTAGCCTCGATCGCCACCAACAAAGTATCCTGGACCAAAATCTTCGCAAAAATTGAGAATTCAAAGCCAGCTGAGAGATGCTGAGCTCAGGGTTTAGGGTTTAGGGTTTATTGTGATCCCTTTATTCCTGTAGAACCCTATACCTGCCTTGCCAGGGGAATATGTTAGGTTGACCTATTTCGAAACCTCTACTTGCAGGGTATTGGTGGTCAAAAGTAGTGCCAGAAACAGTACACCAGTTCTATATACATCCTTACATGAGTCACTTACCTCGACTGGCGTATGCGCGTGAAAGTATATACCCCAGGTACTCTAAGCGTTTCGGGATGGTCCACATTGACTACGAAACGCAGAAGAGGCGCCACGAAAGGAAGTTTGGATTTCAGGGCTTTTGGGGGGAGGGTTTTTGGTCTTCATCACGTGAACGGGCTTAGAACTTGGGGTTGATGATTTGTGGTCTCGGTCGCGAACATGCGGCTTTGGGTGAAAGTACGCTGACAATGAGGCTTTCAGGCAGGACTCTGCATCCGAAGCTTCCCTCTGGTGGGACGCATGGAAGTAACATGCACCCCCAGAAAAGGCCCTGGTAAAGATTACCGTCCTTTTCCAAGGAAATACGTGGGGTTCTATGTTAGTTTGGGAGGGTCGTTCTCAACAAAGACCAGGATAGATTTGATAGAGATTCTGAGATTCTTGCCCACAGGGTCAATGTAGGTATATAGTATGTACTTAGGCCCTAGTTGAACCCTGAACTCCTAAACCAAAACGCCCCCCCAATACCCAGCGGCCCTCACAGGACTCCCAAGCAGTCCGCACTGGTGATCTCGGAGATCGCCAAGTCGAACAAGCTGATGCTGTCGACCTCGGAGCTCGAGGCCCTCAAGTTTTAAGTTTTAGGGCCTGAAGGGGCCTTTAAGGGTTTTGGGTTTAGGGTCTAGGATTTAGGCTTTACGTTTTAGGGTTTAGGGTGGGCCAGAGCCCATGGTTGAAGGTCCAGGGCTTTTGATCTAGGATTTAGGGTTGAGGATTTGGTAGTATTTAGGGCTTAGGGTGTCTAGGGTTCAGGGTTTAGGGTTTAGGCCTGAACCCTGACTGTGGGATTTAGGGTTTACAGGATTTAGGGTTTAAGATCTAGAGATCAGGATATAGAAGGTTCAGGGCTAGGTTTTAGGTCTAGCCCCCCCACCCCCTATCCTATATCCGCCCTGACTTTCCTCTTCAATCAGGCGTATTCGGGGCTAGTTCGTGCTCATTATACGGAACCCAAAACAATGGCTTCGAGGTTGCAGGGAAACTACGGGATTTGGTTTTCCTTGGGAATCTGTGGTAGCAGGGCTTTCAGCGTCAACCGTTTCTTAAGGCCTTATGGGTAAAAAGCCCGCTATCCCCAAATAGCCCCTAAAATATCCTTATAAACCCCGAGGCTATCCCTATATAACCCCGTATGATAACCCCATATGATCCCTATAAGCCCTTATACTATCCCTATAAAAGCCCTCTAAGATCCTTATATAACCCTTACAAGATCCCTATGTCACCCCTATAAGATCTCTATACAATATAACTACCCGTAGGCTCCCAGGTTCGGCTGTTTTGTGGGGTTGTGAGCTTAGGGTGCAGCTTTGAGGGTCCTAGTGTCTTATAGGGATTTCGGAGGGGGGGGGGGGATCTTATAAGGGTTATATAGGGATTTTACAGGCTAGCCAATCTTTCTCATAGATTCTCAAGATTACTTCTAACATCCCTACACATCAGCCTTCAGCAGTCCTAACTTGGCGACATCCTGCCAAAACTTGCGAGCCTTCAAGCCTAAACTTAAACCTCAAACGCTAATCCCGAAATCTTGACACCCTGTTAAGGAACTTAATTTATGTTACTATTTTGGGGAAACACTATAATTATTATTTATACCCATTATGGTAACTTGATTTAAGTTTAACAGCAACCCAGTAGACCCTATCTGACGCGAGGAATCTGATTTCGTGATGATTGAAGAGGGAGCAGGTCGGAAGACCACCAAGGATGCTCCGCCCGGCCAGAAGTAAGACTAGGCCCTGCGCGGCTGAGGTGTTGGTTAAGTCTATACATTATCCTCCTGGAAAGCCTAGTTACCCACATCATCCCTAAACCCTAAACCCTTAACGCAGATTCTAGGGGTTTAGGGTATGGGGTAATTAGGTATCATTGCAGGGCTTCATGACAATACTCAGTTGTTCTTGGGCATGACAGAAGCACTATTGATTTACAGTTGTGAGCTCATTCTCCTACGACCCCCTTCATTTTCATCTAGATCTGGGCCTGAGACGTATAAACTGTTCATGAATTCGGACTTGCAGGATATGTTACGGTTAAGGTTTAGAGTTTAGACTTTAGGATCAGTAGAAGCACAGTTCTACGCAAAAAATATTCACTGAATCGCTAAGCGCGATCCTTCCGGGGCCTAGTCTGGTCATGGTGGGCAGCGTATTGCGCCAGAGGTCAAGCAGTAAAGATCTGTTCTTTTGACTTGGGCGGCAAGATAATATGTTTTGTCCTCCAAAAACTCCTTACTGGGGGTTAGCAGGGAATAAGGGAATATGTTTCCTACATGTATACATATATACACACTATATACTATCTACTATAGACTATATACACATATAAACCCTATGTAGCATATTTCATATTCCCTTATTCTGTATTAGCCCCCAGCAAGACTCTGAGCTCTGCTGAACAGCAGTGCTATGGCTCATCCTGGTAGCGAGCTTCTCACCTGTCAGAAGCCTCAGCAGTTGATGCTGAACAGATCATATGTTTACAGTCCCCTTTAAGTAGATAGAATACCCCTTTAGGAAGATAGGGGATATATTGGGGTTATAAGGGGATAGTGGAAAAGAAAATGGAAGCTACTATTTAGGGTTTAGGGTTTGGGGGTATAGTCCCATTTAAGTAGAATCTGGGGTAAATGGGGATCTTATTATAATAGCTCAAAGCCATAGTCTATCTACTTAAGGGGACTATGACTTCTAAGCAACTCGCTTCGCTTGATGTACATGGGAGAAAGAACGCCGGCCCCAGAATCATGGTTATTGTGCCGGCGGCTGTTGACATGGTGCCCGTGGGCTTTGTTCCGAAATTGTGGCCCCTTTGCTGGGTGCTTAGGTTGGGCAGCAGCTCGCTACATGATTGGTGGAGTGAATTGACAGGTCCTTTCAATTGGGATAGTGGGACCCCAAGCAGAGACTAAGATTCAATTGTCGTTGGGATCTCCTCTTTCTTGAAGAAGTTTAAAGAGACTCTACTGGGAACCCCAAATAGGGAACCCCAAGAATATAGCAGGAATATAATGGAATATAAGGACCCTGGTAGGTATATTCCTATTATATACCTACATATTCTTGGGGTTCCCGGTTTGGGCTCTGTTCTCTACAGCCCAAGAGTTGTTTCAACTGCGAAGTTCAGTCACTGTCCAAATCGCGATCCCTGTTTGGGGGTGCCTGGTAAGCCACTGCTCCCACTGCGGCACCCTCAATTGTGCGACCCGGAAAGGGCCCCTGTTTTTGACAACTCCCCTCTATAGTGTTGATAGCCTTCTGTGCCTTCCCTAGTAATGAATGTTACTTGTGCTCTTAGTCCTAACTCTTACTCTTATTCTTACTATTACCATTACTATCATTATCCTTACTACTGTTACTACTATTACCATTCTCACTGGTACTACTCATATTCCTGTTACTATTATGACGATGTTGGTTTTCTGTCCTTGGCGCCGCTTGGCTCGAGATCCTTTATCAGCATTGACCTCGCGATCTGACCAGTATATGCCTGCCATATTTGCTTATTGTGTCTTGGCCCGAATTAGGGGTACCTTTAAAGGGGGTTATAGGGGGTATATAGAGTTTAAGTAGGGGTCTCCCTCTTGAGGGAAACTGCCATATTTGCTTATTGTGTCTTGGCTGCTCCCCCTACTTAGGGTACCTTTAAAGGGGGTTATAGGATTCTATAGGGGTTACTTACGGTTTAGGGTTGGGGTCCCCCTACTTAGGGAAACTGCCATATGTGCCTATTGTGTCTTGGCCTAAATTAGGGGTACCTTTAAAGGGGGTTATAGGGGGTATATAGGGGTTACTTAGGGTTTAGGGTCGCGGTCCCCCTACTTAGGGAAACTGCCATATGTGCCTATTGTGTCTTGGCCCAAATTAGGGGTACCTGTAAAGGGGGCTATAGGGGGTATATAGGGTTTAAGTATGGGTCTCCCAATTTAGGGAAACTGCCATATTTGCTTATTGTGTCTTGGCCGCAGAGGGGTGTAGGATTTAGGGATGATCTTGGGGTGGGTAGCAGCAAAGAGGTTTAGGGTTAATTAAGGGTCTAGGGATTATGTTGGGGTGAGTTAGGTGAAGAGGCAGGGAATCCGTGTAGAGGTTGCCTCTATACAACCTCCTATAACAGTCCATGCAATCCATTCCCCACCTTTTGGCAATCCATTCCCTATTCGCCACCACTTGTCGGGCATCCCATGTTCATTGCTTGATTTTGATTGTTATTGACTTGAATCCCTAGATATCCCTACAAAGCCATCAACTCAATTATGGGCCCCCCAATACCCACCTTGGTAAGCCCTAAACATCTTCTTCCCAGGAATTCAGTGGAGACGCCCAAGCCTCAGAGTTAGGGAAGCCCCTATGATGCTTGTGACGGATGTGCTTCAGTGCGACCCTAAACCCCAAACCCTAAACTGCTTAGGATGTTTAAGGGACTTCTGGGAACCTTATAGCCTTACGGCTAGGGGTTAAATAGGGGATTATATAGGGGACGATGATAAGGGTTATTAAGGGGGATACTAGGAGTTGAGACTGTAGCTCATATAGCTACAGAATTTAGGGTGTAGCGTTTAGGGATTACATTCCGCTGGGGTATGCACAGACAGAGTTCTCAAGATTCTAGGGGCATTCAGAGCAATTTCTCCACGCATGGCCACAGGGGTTCGGGAAGCGACCCGGATGCTTGTCAAAATCAGGGCTTCAGCTTGCAAAGCATCGGGGCAGGGATGCCGAATGAGGTTTAGGATGTAGTGGTCATTTCCTATAGGCTCGTATGGCTACTGCACTTATTACAGATAACGCAACTCTTTCGTACCTACTTAACCCAAACTTGAACCCTTCAAGCCATTCTAAACCTCCTACAGTTTCCATGTCAGTTTCCGTTAAGTGGGCACTAGATCCCAGATCCCTACATGCCCCTGTGCATCTCTTAGCCCTCGACACTGGAAGAGGACCCTCACTTGACCTCCGGAGCTTACAATGCGGGCCTGTCGCATGCTGCTGAGGCGCGAGCTACCCCTGTGTCCAGCCCTTGGCCGCCAGTGGAGCTCCGGATTGTTACTGTAGGTGCCTGAATAATTTGCAAAGAATCCCTCCCCCCATAATGTCCCTTCTAGAAGAAGGCCAGTAGTATATTCGGGTTATGTCCCTGCGACCCCTTGTCTATGGAAATTACCACAGATGGAACGCTACAAGGCTGCAAAGCGCAGATGGGTTATCCATGGGTAGGTAGGCCACTGCAGTTGACCTGAAGACAGCCTTGGTAGATTTTGAGACAGGTGCGGGGCTTGCCTTGTGGCGGCGCTTAGTGAGCCCTTGTGAAGTAACCCCTGCCCCCCCAATACCCTTACACCTAACGTTCATCAATTTTCTCATGGTGGCATAGTGCAATATATGTAGGGAATATCTTACTATTAGCAGGGTTCGGGGGCTTTAGATATAAGGGCGAGTGAAGTACAACGAAAGAAAAGCTACATACCCTCGCCCAAACTAACATGAACCCCCCAAAAGGGCCCTGTCAGGATAACGCTCTTTTCAGGACGGGGCTTGACTGGGTTGCTGTTAAGGAACTTAATTTAAGTTACCATAATGAGTATATATATATATATAGTAAATAGTAGGGTTTCCCCAATATAGTAACTTAATCT